GATACAGGATCTCCATCTTCAAGCTCTGTCCACCTGCCAAGGCATTTATTTACCTTGTTTTGTCTTCACAATATCTCTTAGGTGGAGGGTGCTATTTCCCCCACCTGAAGGATGAGAAAACTAAGACAAAGGTTGTACAACTATTAGTGGAGTTTCCCTAGGTCCGTTTGAACCATCCAACCACCTCCTTCCTGTCTTTCTATTAGGATGTATTTTAGACATACAAAATAGAGAATAACAGAAGAATCATCCACGTACCCCCACCCAGCTTAGAAAATAAAACAGCAAATCCAGCAGAAGCTTTCTGAGGATGCTCTTTCTATTACACCATCTGCCTGTATCTCAGGGAAAGTTCCTAAAAAAAATCCCTTGGAAAGCACTGAAACTGGATAGAGTTTTAAAAAGGCTTGGAAATTTAACTTAGAATCTGAAGATGTCACAAAGAACTAGAACAGTACACCCTTTGTTTTGATAAGCATAGATCAGAGGGGGAATTATATAAGCAGGTTCAAAAAGGAAGGATTGTTTAAACAATAGAAATGAAATACTTTGCTGTGTGCTAAGTACTGTGGTAGGTGTTCTGGGTATCGAGAGACATGGGCCCCATCCTTGAGGGGAAGAAGCTACATGTTGTAGAACTTTGATAGGTATTTTCTGAAAAGATGACACATCCACATTTGATTGGTGTGGCATGTACAAAAAAATTGGAGTAGACTTACAATGAGTAAATCTGAGGTAATCCTGAGTTACATTTTGAAAAGGAAGATAGTTCCCCCTTTAAAATGAAAGGCGGCTCATTAATGACATGGAAGAGAATAATAAAGTGATTGTTGTTGTTATGTGCCATCGAGTTGGACCTGACTCATAGTGACCCCTACTTGGATTTCCTAGGAGGTATCAGTATGGAAGTAGATTGCCTAACCTTCCTTCTGAGGAGTGGCTGGTGGGTTTGAACCGCCAGCCTTCTGGTTAGCAGTCAAGTGCCTTAGGCAGTACGCTACCAGAGCTCCCAACAAAGTGATTAGTCGCTTTCAAATGTTATTCGAAGATACTGCCCCCCCCCCAAAAAAAAACAGTTGCTGTCAAATTGATTGTGACTCACGGGGACCTCACGATGTCAGCTGAGGGCTCCTGTGCTGAAAGGAGCTCTCAGTGGCTGATTGTTCAGAAGCAGATCTCCAGGCCTTCCTTCCAAGGTGCCTCTCAGTAGATTTGAACCACCAACTTTGGGTACCAGCTGAGCACATTAACTGTTGCATCACCTAGGGACTTAATCTCAATAAAAATCTGGGTCTTCACTGGTGGTTGCTCCAAAGTAAATATATCTGAAAATATAAGATACCAGGTTGGTATTAAACACTTTACTCACTAGTATGATGAGAAATGCCTAAACAATAATAAAGTATATTAAAAAGCCGTCTGGGCTACTGCTGGTTAGGATTTAATTTTAAGTAATTAGAGTGTCATTATCCACAAACCTGGATTTGGCGTTTTGTTTCTATAGAACTCTTGAGAGGTATCTGTTGCACTCTTTCAGCTTCCCAGAACATGGGTAACTTTGGAGCCATATATAAGGCAGTCAGTCACTCTTAGTTACTGCACTTCAAACTCAAGCCAGTGCAGGCTGCGGAGCTAAGGCTTTGTGTCTCAGGTTTTCAGTCAGGTTCAGGTTTCATTCTGGATTTAAACAATGGAATGCCTATCTCCAAGGCAGGCAATAAGATTTATGAAACTGTAGAAGGAAAGCTTGCAAATACGTCTGTTGTTGCTAGATATTAAGCCTATGTGGATACCTTTCCAGTAGCCTGGCAATATTTACAGACCCTTCGATTTACTTTGTTCTTGTCTAGCTGTTGTGAAGAAGGTTATTCATTAATGAGTATGAACCATGACTAACTATCCCACTTACCGAGTTAGACCAAACTGAGTGGGTAAGAGAAATAGGCTTTTAACGTGTTGAGATCAATAATTTAGTGATAACTAGTTCTGTCAGTCAAGTGTGTGTGTGTGTGTGTGTGTGTGTTGGTGTTGTTTCAGGGAACAGGCACTCCAACTCCAAATGGCTTAAATGAGAATTTATTAGCTCACATAGCTGAAGAGTACAGGATAAGGTGAGGCACGGCTGAATTCAGGGGCTTAGAAACCTAGTCTCCCCATCTGTTTTGCTGTCTGTTGGCTTCATTCCTAGATTCTCTTCTTGTAGTGGCTAGTTCTAAACCAAAATGCTGGATTCAATTGCCATTAGGTCCTGTACTCATTCCTAAACTAGTCACTGGTGGGAGGAGGGGAATGCAGTGATCTGACTGGCCATGCCTGGGTCACATACTCAGCTCTGGAGTTGGTGGTAGAATCAATACCATCTGAACTGTGCTTCTCAAAACTATCTGTGGTAAAAAACCCAACCCACTGCCATCGGGTCGATTCTGACTCATAGTGACCTGATAAGACAGACCAGAACTATGCCATAGGGTTTCCAAGGCTGCAAATCTTTATGGAAGTAGAATGCCTCATCTTTCTCCTGCAGACTGGCTGGAGGGTTTGAACTGCTAACCTTTTGGTTTGCAGCCCAGTGCTCTAACTAATGCACCACCAGAGCTCCTATCTGTGGTAAAGGAACATTATTTTTGTTTTAATTTTCAAGTAGAAACCAGTACTTTGAATCTGTGCATCCTGTTCAACAAGATGATTCCACTGATCATGCTCTCAGTTGTTGCTGTGTAAAACTATCCAATTCTCTGAATGCTTACTGAGTTTTGTCGTGGATTGGTAGCAAGTATGGTGGACCATCACTGGGAGACCACATTTTGATACATATTTTTCTAAACCATATGATCCAAGAAAGGAATGAGTGTTTCTCTGGAAGAAAACCTGAGGAAAGTATTACCAGAAAAGGGTCAAGAGAATGGATGCCAGAAATACACTCACCACAATTAATTCTATAAATGTTGTTTTGGAAAGGCCTCATCTTAATATTCAGGAAACTTTTGGGTTATGGATTATCTTAGTTCTCTAGTGCTGCCATAACAGAAATAACACAAGTGGATGGCTTAATAGGAATTTATTATCTTACAGTTTAAGAGGCTAGAAGTCCAAATTCAGAGTGCTGGCTCTAGGGGCTGGGCAAAGACCCCTTGACCTTGGGCTTCAGCTCTGCCTCTTATTCCAGGCCCAGTGGAACTAGAGGCATCTCTTCACTCAGGCAGCTGTAGATTTCTGAGGCTGACGAACTCAAGGTCAGCAGGTAAAATGGCACAATCCCAAGATCAACAAGCAACAGGGCAGGCCACTGGTTCAAGTCCAAGGACAGTCCCAAGATTGGCAGGCAACACACGGCAGGCCATTGGTTCAAGTCCAGGAACTAGAGATGAAGACTCAGCCAAATGCAGGATCCACATGTGCCAAAAAGCTAGAGACCTTTGCCAAAGCTTTTCCATATATACTGGAAGCAGGCTACACTCCAAAGGCAGCTACCCTTCCACTGATTAACGTCTCACAGCAGATTCCACCGTGGAGAGGATTACAATCTCATCATGGGGAATAACTGCATCCATCTGCCAAGCACTCAAAACCACAGCCCAGCCAAGTTGACACACAACCTTAGCAACTACATGGATCTTCTGAATGGCGTCATATGGGCAGTAGGATGATTTCACCCTCACCCCCACCCCCATCCCCATCATTTTTAAGGACTGAAGATTATTCAGTCTTTTCTGCTTAGTAGCCCCTCTTTCCGCTTTTCTTTCTGGTCACGTTTGGGTTAGTAAGGGTCTCTCAGCTTTCTTAACCACTTATTTCCTGAGGAACAAGTGACAACAGCTCATCTGAGGAGGCTCAACAGGCAAGGGCTGAAGATAATCACACACAGAAGGAAAGTCTGAAAAGGATAGTGGGGGAAAAAGGAATTATATCACTGTATTTTTAGGTACCACCCAGGGCAGGGCAGACATAACAACCTGCCTTCTTAGCAGGACAGCTTTCTGTGCCAGCTAAGGCATTAGTGTATGTTAGCCATTCAGAGCTAAGTATTGTAAACTGCATCCAAGTAGACCAGTTTGTTGAGAAGGGAGGTTAGAAAATGAGAGCCCTACGTCATAGCTATATGATAGCCCAGGATTTAAACTTGCAGCTCCACCATCATGTCAGACCACATTGTTCAGAGGTTATTCTGACTGACTCAACAAACAATTCATGGTACCGATTTGGATTTGGTAGCATATTCTGCTTGGATTAACAGGCTTGTCCAGGAGGAAAAGCACTGTTGGCTGAGCTAGTTGACTTTTTTTCTGAGATGCGGATGCATTGTGTAGGGGAGACCCTGGGATTAAAGAAGCATAGACATTTAAATCAGAGCCATGTGGGTGGATGTTTGTTGTGGTCTCAGCTGGGCTCCATGCATGTATTTGTGCTAGTCACAGACACAACTATTTATGCTACAGTCTCACATAGCTTGAGCATACGACATAAAACTTGTTCTTATGGGGCAATACGGCACTTTCTTCTTCCCTAGAAAGTGTGCCATGGCTTGTATATGTTAAATGTCAAGAGTGTGGTGCTGTTACAAGGAATTGAACATGCAATGAAAACCTCCACGTAAGTGTAAGTTTTTACAAAATTACACTAAAGATTGAGGGTGAGGGAAAGCGTCTTTGCGTTCCCTATACTGCTTTCTTAATTCCTGTGGATTCTGGTGGTATACTTGGTACCTGGTTGACCCGTAGTTTTTTATTGAATGCAGGTCCTTTGTCTTCTGTGTATCTGTATGGGGGGAGGGAGGGACAACAAGCTGTACGTGACCAGCCAGAGTTTTCTAATGAAAGCTGTAATTTGGAGGAAGAGATGAGGCTGTTTTGCAGGAACACAGGCCTTTTATAGATGTGGTTGAAGTGGTTCATAAAAGAAGGCTATCTTCTGGGTTTACCCAACCTCCAAGGAAGCTGGTAATGCACCTCGTACAGTATAGGGACATTCTAAGGCATTGACAGCGTCCTCTTTTCCTTCAGAATGCCTGTCTGGGGAGGAGGAAACAAGTGTGGAGCCTGTGGGAGGACCGTGTACCATGCTGAGGAGGTGCAGTGTGACGGGAGGAGCTTCCACCGCTGCTGCTTCCTGTGCAGTAAGTATCTCAGTGCTCCACCGGGGACAGTATTTGTGTGTGAAAGTCTTCAATTTACTTGTTTCAGGAAAAACTTAGGTTTTGCTAACGAAAGTTATTTAAAAAGTACCAGTGGTTTTTAATCTGTCCTCTTAAGAAACTGCAAATCCTTAGCTTGGTAGCAGGAACAGTAGGGGTGACTCAGAACACTTTGCCTTCCTTTGTGGCCCCATCGCTCTGGCCTACCTGTTGGCCTTTACTGGACTTTGTTAGCTCAGCTGTCTCTCTTGCTGTCCTCTGAGCTCACTGTCCTTTATGTGGTCTGGGACCCGGCGTAGTTTCTGGCACACTGTAAGGGCTCAGCCCCAGGGTTTGAATGAATGATTGCTCCTCATCTACCCCAGTTCACTCTCTCAGGCTGGGCTCCTCTCTGAAAACTACTCTCATGGTTTCATACCACATTGGTGATTGAAGTTTGAGTGATTCTGTTCCCAGAAGTTCAAATTCTACTTTATCCTGTAGTGAAAGTTCCAAATTATTTTTGGTTATTGATATTCTAAATTTGAGGCAAAGGAACTTAGGCTATGAAAATCCCATACAATCAAGTTTTGTTACTACTCAGAAAATCATCACAGGGTCTGCCATACACAGGAAGTAGGACATAAAACAACACATGCTGAAGTGCACTGAAGACAGCAAATAACCAGGCAATGAGAGAAACAGAACAAGAGACAAGCCTGAAAATTACTTGAAAAAAAAATTCCCTCTAATGACAGCTAAGTCTTCAGGTTTAAACTAGTAGCATAGCAATTTAAGAAGGTTTTTCATTACTCTTATTCTTCTCATTGAAATGACAAACTTTTCTTCAATGAAAGATTTATTATCTGGGGAGGTATCTGCTGTACACACAGACACTTGCTGCATCTCTAGTCCTGTACAGTGAAAATTACTGTACGAAACCAAATATGTTAAAAATCAGTTCAATTCAGTAAGAAATAACCTTCAGAAAAAAATTCTCAAATTTGAATTGTCCTTCTCCCTTAGGGGCCAGCATTCTCAGTTTCTGGATGTCTTTATAGTATAACTACTTCACTGACAACCAGAAACAGACAACAGAAAATGACAGTCACAGAGAATAAAAATATAACAATGAGTGTTTGGTATTTATGCTCCTATAATAGCTACCACTTCTCAAAAGAGTTGGTTTAACCATTTCTTCTTTTAGAAGTTACTGATCCTTGTTTTTGGGAATCTTGTTTGTTAGCAGGTTTATAACCTCATAAGAGAGTATGTTGTGCTCAAAGGGGATGTGCAGAGACTTTAGGAATTGTTAGTCATTTCATCTAGGTTACTCTGTTGAGTTCTTTACTGGTCATTTGTACTAAACTCATAACCACCCTGTAGGGCAGGTCCAAGGCTATGAAGAAGACTGCCACATCTATCTCCCACAGAGTGGCTGGTAAGTTAGAACTGGTGACCTTTTGGTTACCAGCTGAATACTTAACCACTGCACCACCAGTGCTCTCTGGTCATGTTTCCTATTCTTTCCTAATAGTTGTGACTGTTGCCTACAGCCTTTTAAGGAAATAATTTGGAGTAGTTTGCAGACCTGTGAGAATTCTGCAGTGAATAGGGATGAGGATGGGGGATGGAACAGCAGTTATGTGGTCAAAATTTCCCATACCTGAACTTGCTTTCTTTACTATATCTGTTTTTCAAAACAGTACTGATTTTATATTTGTTCTGTTAAGGGTACTTGCTATTTGTTCTTCAGCAATCAGTGTGTAGTTTTAGGTTAACATTGTCTTTAAGCAAATAAAGATGACTTTAGTCTGAGATAATAATTTAACTTTATTTGAAACCAGCCAGCTAGTCCAGTCTTTCCCTCCCTTGCTCCTTCCCCATCCTTCCCTCCTTTTTTTTTCCCCTGTTAAATAAAGAGGAGACATCCCTTCCCCACTACACTACTCTTTATTTCCAGGAGAGGGATTTCCAGTTGCTCTATTGTGCTGCCACTGAGCTCCCTCATAATTTATTTTTTCCTCATTGAAGTTTTAGAAAGTGAAATAATGTCTGGATAAAACATGATGACATTTGGCAGTTTTATGAAGTGGGATGTGTGGAAATGTCTTGTGGCAAGAAATCCATCAAGAAAGAATGTGTTCTCCTTTGCGACAAAGGGGAAAACAAATGCAGACTTGAAACCACTTGATGATTTTCAGACACACTTATCACTGCTAGAGAAGTCAGTGGGAGATGAAAGAATGATGCGTTTCCCCACTGTGGCCCAGTGATAAAAACTAGAATTCTGAATTTAAAACTATTTTTATCCCAGGGAACGTGATTTTCAGGGAGGAAGGGCTACAGAGACAACTCCCCCAGGCACCCAGCTACCCTTTTTTCTTCATTAGGTTGTAATTTAACAATATACGTGGTATAAAAGACTGAAGAGGTTAATGGAATGTTGAGGCATAGAGAGCAAGGTGTTGGTAGGTTTATTCCTTTTGTTCATGTAATTATTGCGTCTCTGCAACTGCTCACTCTTGCCAGAGAAGCAAATCATATTGAAAAGCTTGAGGCATCTGGACGTTCACTCTGACAGACTTCTGAAACTAGCATCACATCCAGGGAGGAAGGCAAATCTTCCTCAAGTGTGGCTGACCAGTCCAGATACTGCCCTGTGGCTTTTGGAAAACCACTGGATCCATTAGGAATGTGAGAGAACTTGTGTCTTTACCATTTGTTGACCATGTGTTTGAAGAAAATCAGCATCTTTGAAACATGTTTCAAGTCTAACTTTTTTCCATTCAGTGGTTTGCAGGAAAAATTTAGATAGCACAACAGTGGCAATTCACGATGAAGAGATCTACTGCAAATCCTGCTACGGAAAGAAGTACGGGCCAAAAGGCTATGGTTACGGCCAGGGTGCTGGCACACTCAATATGGACCATGGTGAGAGGCTGGGCATCAAGCCAGAGAGGTGAGTGAGGAGAGTGTGTGTGACCTTGAGAAATGTTATAACAATTAATGTTGCTTGGTGAACAGGAACCTGGGAGTTTCCAGATTTTTAGCTTGAAATAAGCAAACAAAATGTGACTCATGTTTTCTAGTGTAAGTCAGTTAGTAATCTTTAAACCGAAAATACAGACAGTTTTGGACTTAACCGAGTTGCTTTTGATTTTCCAGTGATTTCTAGTCCTGGTTTTGTTAAAGCCTTTCAGAGTATATCAAGGAGTCATGATGTTCTCAAAAGCAAGTGCTTTAAGTTTACTTCTGCTTCCATTAAAAAAAAAAAAAAAATCAGCACTACATTTTGGAGAACAGATGTCATGAAATCAAATGATAGAGAATGTGTTATCAGAATCATGAGATGTGCTTCTCATGTGCGATTAAGCAGAAAATGAAAATTCTTCAGTTACTCCTTCTATTTAAGAATCTTTCCTCAAGAAATTTTTACTAGCTTAAAAATTCTTACTTAAAATTATTTCGTTTTTGATTCTTTGAGAGACTAAGTGTTAAACTTTAAAGGCTTTAGTACCAAAGTAGAAAGGTGTTACATGTTTTGTTTTGTTTTTTAAAGTGTGCTTATTTCATCTTTAGGCTAAATAATTTATTTGGAATTTCCTTTTAATTCTGATTTTTAACACATTTGCCCCCTTAAGCTGTGCATTTTCACATCCATTTTATATTAAAGAAGCCAAAATTGATGTTAAGACCTAGTACAGAGACTGATGGGCCTCTTAATGGACAGGACCTTAATTGTGCCCTTACAGTCAGTGGGCTGAGCACTATGCAACATTAACATATGTTAACTCATGTTATCTTCCCAACAGCCTCAGAAAGTTGAGTTTTCCATTTTCCTACTACACCGCTGTTGAGTTGATTCTGACTTATAGTGACCCTATAGGGCAGAATAGAACTATATACCATAATGCTTCCAAGGCTGTAAATCTTTATGGAAGCAGACTGCCACATCTTTCTCCCGTTTCCTTCTATGTTACTCCTGAACAAACTGAGACAGTGAGAATGAAGGTCACTATAGCTAGTTCCAGGCTAAAGTCTAGAATTTAGTCTAACTCCAAGCTTGGAGTCCCTGGGTGGTGCAAACAGTTAATGTGCCTGGCTGCTAACTGAAAGGTTGGCAGTTCTAGTCCACCCAGATGGACTTTGTAGGAAAGGCCTGGTGATCTACTTTCTAAACTGAAGACCCTGTGGAGCACAGTTCTGCGAACACCCATGGGATCACCATGAGTCGGAATCAACTCCACAGCAACTGGTGCTGTTAGCACCAAACTTGTGATCATAAAACTCTGTGCTGTATGTCATGCCTGACAATAATTACCGTGTATTTAGTGCCTATTGTCTGCTGAACACATTTTTTCCATTATTTCTAATCCTCACAATAACTCTGAAGTATAGATATTCTGTCTCCATTTTATAAACTAGGAAACTAAAGCTCAGGAGTCACACAGGTAAGTAGCAGAGCCAAGATTTGAACCTAAATCCATCTGACTCCACAACCTATGCTTGTTCCATTGTGAGGTGGAGCTACACTGAGGTCTGTCTCTCTTGCTCTTCAGGGATTTTCCATGCACACAGTTTTTGGACCCTGGTGCTTTGTGTGCCAGTTGTATGTTGCCAACTAATTCACTGTTACATATATATAATCACTCATGGAGCCCAGGTCACTTTTGCCTTTATTCAAGTTCATTGACCTTGGTTCTACTTTGTTTTTCCAACTCGTTAAATCCATTCTTGTTTCTGAAGGTGTGTTTCAACCCCTTCAAAACACATATGCCTGTACACCCTCCCCAAGCCAAACCAGTGCATGCATGACTCTAAGGTAAGTTAATGACTGTGACTGTAGTTTTAAAGTCACCAAGACCAGTAGCCTTGTGCCCCTCTTCATCTGTTCTGCTCTCTGCCTTCCCCAGCATGAGCCCTGTTATTGGCCTGTCTCAACTTGTGCCTTTGCCTGTTCTCCTTCTTCACCTGGCCGTATCCTACTTAAGACCGACCAGATATAGGACTTCCTTTATCGACAAGCCTTTCTCAATAACTCTGAACCCCATTCGCTGAACTCCTAGAGCACCTATGGTAACAGTAACAGTGTAATTTGGTCATGGGAATTAAACATTTTCACAAGGATCTCTGGAGAGACTACATAGAGTTGTTGTTGTTGTTTGCCGTCGAGTCAGCCCTGACTCATAGCGACCCATCCTTGGGTTTCCAAGGTAGTATCACTACGGAAGTAGGATTGCCCAACCTTCCTTCCGAGGAGTGGCTGGTGGGTTCTGGTGAGCAGTCAAGTGCCTTAGGCACTATGCTACCAGAGCTCCCCTGCATAGAGTAGGCAAGAATATTTTGGATTCACATAGGCCTGGATTTTCATTTCAGGCTCACCGGTTTACTAATTCTCCAACCTTTCAGCAAGTTACTTAACATCTGAGGCCTCATTTCTTTTGTAATATGAGATAACAATACCTGGACCCTAAAAAGTTATTAAAAGACAGATGGAAAGTCCTCTGTGAAATTCTTGTTAACAGACATATGCTTGGCAGATTGGAAGACTGTTCATGGGAGCATGGCCTCATAATTGCAAGTGTTGGGTTATTCTGAATAATCTCTTAAAGATTACTTTGAAAAATAAGTACTATACTGAGTTGTGGAGTTTTAAGAAATTTGCCTGCATTAAGGACAATTGAAGAAGGAAATTCTGTCAAATATTTCTATGAATTGGTATTTGTTGCTCAGAATAAAATTTCCTGAGGCCATGTCAAAATGTGAATTTTTAAAAAGGTATATGTTTAATAGAAGCTCTGGTGGCATAGTGCTTCAGGCATTTGACTGCTAACCAGAAGGCTGGCAGTTAAAACCCACCAGCCACTCCTCGGAAGGAAGGTGGGGCAATCTACTTCCATAGTGATACCACCTTGGAAACCCAAGGAGGGGTTGCTGTGAGTCCGAACCAACTCGACGGCAGTGAGGTTTTTTTTTCATGTTTAATAACTTAGGTAGAAGTGAAGATTATACACTGTGGAAACTGTTACATGATTCCAAAAAAGTAGACATAGTGGAAATGAAGACATTGGATGATGTATATACAGGAAGAGTTAGAATAAAATTGTTTTATGAAAAAAGCAATATGTCAAAATTAATATTTTATTTGTTTTTATATATATAACTAGGAGAAAACAGTAATTGGCATTTAGCTACCTCTTGCTGAGTGCCAACTATTGTTTCTGTTGTTTACTCAACTAACTACAAGGTCCTGGAAGGACTTGTACATCTTCTCAAAGCCCAGAAGGGTGTTCTGTGCATAGGGGTTCACCTGCTTATTAAATGGTAAAATACTCCTACAGAGAGCAAAGAGAAATGTGGCTTATGTCAATAGTGACAAAAATACCACTTTTATTTTTTACAGAGGAAAAAGTAAATATAAATAGAACACATAGTAAAAGGCAAATTTTCTAAAGTATTTTCCCATGAAGGAAAATAGTTTATTCACAGACTTCCCTACTTATTTTTGGAAATTAAGTAATTTGTAAAACATGTTTAATTACAGACTACTTGAGTAAATTGACGGGAGCTCTGGTGGCATAGTGCCTAAGGCATTTGACTGTTAACCAGAAGGCCCGCGGTTCAAGCCCACCAGCCACTTCTTGGAAGAATGGTTGGGCAATCTATATCCGTAGTGATACAGCCTCGGAAACCTAAGGAGGGGTCACTATGAGTCGGAATTGATTCAATGGCAGTGAGTTGTTTTGTTTTTTGAGTAAATTGACATATTGGAGAAAATTTTACCTGCTTAAATTAACACTGAATTTTCAGTCTTCTGTGAAGTAAACCTAGATGTGATTCCAGTGGTACAAATAATATGAAGTATATCTGGGGTAAAAATAAATGCTCTGATTCGTTTTCCTAAAGCACAGTGTAATTGTTTAAAGGAGAGGCTAGCGTAACGGATTAAATAAATTTTGATGAGTTTAGACCTAGGGGGATAGAGCTTTGTCTGTCTTGTAACAATAATGAGGCAGTAAATAGGTCAAAGTAATAACTCTGGCCACTGCACCAAGATTAATTTCTCCTTTCTTCTTTCCCCATACTGGCCTGTGAAGGCCTCCAGTCATGAGACACTGACAGTTAAGACCCAGAGTTCGTGCCTTGTGGATTTATAGGGCCCTTTGGAAAATCTTTCCTAAAATTCTTTTCCCCTTTCTACAAGTGTTCAACCTCACAGTCCTACAACAAATCCAAACACTTCTAAATTTGCTCAGAAATATGGAGGTGCTGAGAAGTGTTCCAGATGTGGAGATTCCGTGTATGCTGCTGAGAAGATAATTGGTGCTGGGAAGGTAAATTGCTGTTTTGAATTAATAATAGTGAATAGCTCCTCTCCATGCCCTTTCTCCTCCAGCCTCACCACATCCCACTCAGGCACTCTGTCTTATAAACAAGTGCCTTGGATTAAACTTTTTTTATTTCTTACAAATTTCCATCTGAATCATTAAGTTTTTGTAGTGATATCCTTTATTGACAAATCACATCAATGTTTAATTAAAAGAAACTTGAAACTTCTATTCATAGGCGGCACTCCTGAAGATTGTCAACTAAAAAGGCCAGAATATTAGCAAATCTGGAATCTTCAGATTATTCAGTATAGTGAAGAAGGCAGTGATCCAGAGTCAGAAGACCTGATGGTAATTAGCTGTGTGACTTTGAGCTACAATCTTCTCAGCCATAGAGGAGGCCACCTTTCAAGGAGCTGACCAGGTTGCAGTGAGGTCTGACACTGCTGTTAGGAAACTGGCTCTTCCATACAGCTCCCAGCCCATATTGTCTGTGAATGAAGTTTGAACTCAGCCCTTCTGTATGTGGCCAAGAATGGAGATAGCAGCGATGGCCAGTTTTAGCTTCTACTTGGGGCTGAACCATAGCAATCAGGAGCTCATCTTGAGTTCATCTTCTGAGCTACTTCTTGCCTCAGTATCTAAATTATACTGCAGAAAACAGGCCTCTCAAGCATGGTAACACATTTGTGTCTTCCAGCCCTGGCATAAAAACTGTTTCCGATGTGCCAAGTGTGGGAAGAGTCTTGACTCAACAACTTTGACTGAGAAGGAAGGTGAAATCTATTGCAAAGGTAAAAAGAATTTCAGTTATCGCTATCTATATGAAAACCCCACACCAGCTATTGGTGAATTAAATTATCACCAGCTTGGGGGTGGGGAGGGCACTCTGAAATTAGGGACGAACAAGCTATATTGTCTTGGCTATTTAAAAATAAAAGGTTCAGAAATGCTTACAGGTGACATATGGGGAAACCTCAGCAGTTTTAGATGACACAATAAAATTAAGTTAAATCATTTAAAAATTCTCCTCAAAACAAACAAAACCACCACAGAGTTTTCTTTTAACTTCATGTTTTAAGCAAAGCAGGTATGAAGGTAATATAATTTATCTGGTCTAATTTTCATGCTTGCAACTCAGTGGGACCATGAGCTGAGCACTGTGGAACCAGAATACATGAACTTGCCTTCACAGCTTTAAGACAGGACATGGTACATTTTACATCTTAAATACATTGGACTCTTTCTGGTATAGCCACCAGTTTTTTAATTTATGGGGATTCGTTTTTGTGTGATCGTGAGCAATGCTAGAAGCTTCGTGGACTTGACTTCACTCTTCCTTTTCTTTCATAGGATGCTATGCAAAGAACTTTGGGCCCAAGGGATTTGGCTATGGCCAAGGAGCAGGAGCCCTTGTTCATGCTCAGTAAAGGTGTAAACCCCAGAATGGAGCATCACACATGGAGAATCTCTTCATAATCTAGGCACAGATAATCTCTTACAATCTCTTAACATTAAACTACTGTGAAATGCGACCAGCATTTAAGTACTGTGTATTACTCTATACTTGGACAGACTGGCCAACTTGTAAGAAGAGAGCATTGTATCCTTTTGCTTTATTCACCACCATTCTAAAGAACCATTTCTTTTACATTTTAAATAAAACTTCAACTTTGTTTAGGTGTTCAGTGTCTGTCTTCAATTAGCCTTTTGGAGGAACTGCTATGATTTCAGTTAGTGGAAAATTTGGTTCCCTACCTCCATTTTATGTTTAAATGAGTCAACCCCATTACCCAGTTGACTTACTAGGTTAATGTTTACATTATTTCTACAGGAAGGGGATATCTTTTTTAAAGCTGGTAATAACTGGTCCTCTAGAGTGAGGGTTGCTAGGCAATGGGCATCACCAGTTCAGCTCCTCAGAGCTGGTGGTCAGCAACACAGGGTTTCCTGCTTGCCCATCCTTCTGTAGCCTGGAGCATCTTCCCAAAGTATGCCTTGGAGACAGCCTGCACTGGACTCACCAGTGGGTATTAAAGAGCAGATTCTTAGGCTCCACCTCAGCCCCATGGAAGCAGAATCTCTAGGTGTAGGGCCAAAAACCCTTCAGCAGGTTCCTCAGACAGGCTCACTGATGTAGGCTGGGTAGTTTGAAACAAAACATTTAAATTCTTTTGTCTTTATCTGTAGCTAAAGATCATTATAAACAAGTATTTACAGCTATAGAATCTGCGGCTCAGCATGACTCTTAATTCTCCACTGTAATCTGAAGGATGGTGATTTACTGGAAACATTCCTTCCCCCCCGTGGTTCTTTCTATTCTGCTTAAGTAGCAAGGAACATAGCATTGTCTGAGCAGTCGTCAGCTATCTCAGGTAGGAAAGGGGCACTGTACTATACCAATATTTTTATCATTCTTCCAGAAGAAGCTTCTAATTCCCTACCAGCAATTCAATCTGTCTCTCCACCCCAGGGGTAGGGGAGGGTAGGTAGGCTGTGAAATTGGTCTGTTATATGCCTGATCTGTGAACCTATCTTTATCTTTTCCAGAACCTACGTTGACAAACTATATTGCTTATTTTGAAGAGCCAGCTTCTAACCAAAAGGTCAGCACTTCGAACCCAGCAGCAG